AATGTATTAAAGTTAGGTCCTTTTAGACATCATTCCTTTATTTTTTTATATAATAAAACCTAATGGGGCTTCCCTGGTGGCACAGTGGTTGAGAGTCTGCCTGCCAATGCAGGGGACACAGGTTTGAGCCCTGGTCTGGGAAGATCCCACATGCCGCAGAGCAACTAGGCCCGTGAGCCACAACTACTGAGCTTGTGCATCTGGAGCCTGTCCTCCGCAACAAGAGAGGATGCGACAGTGAGAGGCCCACGCACTGCGATGGAGAGTTGTCCCCGCTCGCCGCAACTAGAGAAAGCCCTCGCACAGAAACGAAGACCCAACACAGCCAAAAATAAAAAACAAACGAAAAGACAAAAAACAGTTTACACTTTAAAAAAAAAAAACCTAATGAACTTATTTACAAAACAGAAAGACTTACAGATATTGAAAACAAACTTATGGTTACCAAAGGGGAAGTGTGATGGGGAGAAATAAATCAGGAGCTTGGGATGAACATACACACACTACTATATATAAGATAGATAACCAACAAGGACCTACTGTATAACACAGGGAACTCTACTCAATATTCTGTGATAACCTACATGAGAAAAGAATCTGAAAAAGAATGAATATATGTATATATATAACTGAATCACTTTGCTGTACACCTGAAACTAACACAACATTGTAAATCAACTATAATCCAATAAAATTTTTTTAAAAGAACCTAATAGTAAACACTAGGTTTCACCTTGATAAAAAGAGTGTTCTTGCTTCTCAACGTGAAGAAAATAGCACAATTATCATCTGTTTTTTCTTCCGCAGTTACATGGATCTCAAGTGATACAACTTATATGGGAAGAATCAGGGTTATTGTTTATGCATACATCTTTTCTCTGATTTTTCTAGAGGTGTAGGCAGGGATGATATTGAAAGTATTTAACAAGCAGTAGAAGGAAGTCACTAACCTATCAGAAGAGACCCCTGCTAAGTGTCCTCTGGCACAAGTGTACTGGGACTTGCCTGCAGAACACATGCTTAGATACATGAATTACAATATATAATGTAACAAGATGCTTAAGATGGGGCTGTATTTAACATTCAAATTTTTAATCTAAATATTATTTATCTGTTAAAAATGGATCACCTCAAGTTCAAATTGTTTTTCACATTTCCAATCTCTTTTCAGAAGGTGTGAAGGAGTTTCTGCTGCATTTAAGTTTTAGGTATAAGCATGCATATATGAATAAAAACATTTTTCAATGTATCTTTTACTTAAAACTCTGGAATTAATTTCATATCTCTTGAAATACTGCCTTCTAAGATCAATCTCAGAGAAGGGATGGGTAAACATTGGGTTGATATTGACTTAAAATATTAAAATATACCTCTAAAGTATCAAATCAACTTTCAGAATCAATTCTAAACGATCATATAAGATGGTCAAAGTCTATCCCAGCTGGTTCCTTTTCAACTTTCCCATGTTCCAGAGCTACCCAAATGCACAGAAGGCAGTTTGGGAGACATTTTTTCTGCTCTCTAGAAGGTAACAATGAAGAAAGGCTTACAGAGAAGCCTTAAAATATCTTTTCAGTTAATTCGACTTTTCCTTTGGAAATACCCAAGAGTTTCAGAGCACAGCTCATTAGAGCTGGCTGGAGTTTGGGGTAATCTGCCTCACAGCTTGAAGTGATAAAATATCTGGCTCTGTGTCATAGATGCAGGAAGTTTCTAACTGGACCTTCTTGCCATGGCTATTTATGATGTGGAAAATAAATTAAATTTCTTGGAAATAAACTGTCAATCATCTTTCCCAATCTTGCTGAGTAACTCACCCTAAATGAAATATTCTGCCAAAAGAAATACAAATTATTGAGATATGATTCCTGAGAAGAAGGAATAAAAGAAACGACATCGAGTCACATGTAAGATAAAGCAGGACAGCCAAGAGGATGGGAGATAAGATGTGCTTCCTAGGAAACCACTCACAACAACAGCGAGAGAAGGACAAATACCATATGCTGACACATATATATGGAATTTAAGAAAAAAAAAAATGTAATGAAGAACCTAGGGGTAAAACAGGAATAAAGACACAGATGTACTGGAGAACAGATGTGAGGATATGGGGAGGGGGAAGGGTGAGGTGTGATAGGGCGAGAGAGAGACATGGACATATATATACTAACAAACGTAAGGTAGATAGCCAGTGGGAAGCAGCCGCATGGCACAGGGATACCGGCTCGGTTCTCTGTGGCTGCCTGGAGGGGTGGGATAGGGAGGGTGGGAGGGAGGGAGACAAAGAGGGAAGAGATATGGGAGCATATGTATATGTATAACTGATTCACTCTGTTATAAAGCAGAAACTAACACACCATTGTAAAGCAATTATACCCCAATAAAGATGTTAAAGAAAAAAAAAAAGAGAGAATGGAAGAGCAACTCTATTCTCTGTGATTGGATTTAAGAGAGACAAAGACAAAGGGACCTTAGGGAATGGCAGAATTCAATACTTGGTGCTAAGCCAAGTATTGGCTTGGTGCTAATTATTTGGGAAAAGTATATAACCTCATCAATATAGGACCTTACTACATATAATATAGCAAAATAAAATCCACATAGGTTAGAGTTTAATTACTACAAAATCAAACCACTTATAAGACAAAAAAAAGAGAAATATTTATCTGATCTCTGGATAGGGAAGGGCTTTCTAAAATATAAGGCAATTGGAGATATGACAATGGAAAAGACAAATAAGTTGATTAAGCAAATTAAGACTTGCCTATTTCACAAATTCCCATAAACAAAATTGATAACGAATGTGCAAATAATGTTTCTAGATGATATCACAAAGAGTCTTTGGTCTTTAAAGTCTTTAAACTCTTCAATAAAAAAAAAACCCATGAGATGCCCAATAAACAAAGAACTGAAACTAAAGGTAATTAAATGGAAAATACAAATGGCTAATAAATAAGTGAAGAAAGTGCTGCTTTATCAGCAATCAGAAATAGAAATTTAAAAACCATTTTATACTATTATACTAGCCAAAATTTTAGGGATAGAAATACATAATGTTGAAAATCAGGGTACTACAGAAAGATAACTCTGATCCATTGCCAGCAAGATTGTAAATTGGTAAAAACTTTCTGGAAAGAAAGTTGACCAAACATATTAGAAAGTTTAAAAAAAAGTTAAAACTCTAAACTGTTAATTCCTCTTCTAAGCATCTACTTTAAGGAAACAATCAGAAATGTGAACAAAGGTTTATGATTATAAATGTTCACCATAATATGACTTATAATTAAACTATTAGAAACAACTTAAATGCCTACAAACTGGAAATAGATTGAGTAGCTGATAGTGTACTTAGATTACGTAATACACAGCAATTGAAACTATGTATATGAAAAGTACTTAATGACATGAACTATGCTAGGCCATATTTTGGCTAAGTGAAAAGAATGAGATATAAAATTGCACATACAGCATGATTTTAATTTTATAATGAAAACATGTTTGAAAAAAAATACAATGTTCTAAAGTTTTAACAGTAGACCATAAATGGTTTTCTACTGGTCTTTATTTGGCAGTGTTATAGGTAATTTTGTTAATTTTTCTTTTCTCATTTTTATACATTATAAATCTTTAAATATCAGATAATTAGGAAAATAGTCAAAACCAAACAGAGAAAGAGAGAGAGAGAGAAGAGATGGAGGCAAGAGAGAAAGAAAATAAATGAATCAATCAACCCAGGCCTCAGAATTTACCTACAGTCTCCTTTCTTATATTTTAATTTTAAATATACCAAAATACTTTCCTGGGAAGTCACAATAAATAATCATGACAATAATTTTCCAATATACACACTTTTCTGCCAGTTCAAACCAAAGAAACATTTCCTTTAGCAGCAGTACTTCTCAGTTCTATTTTATCCAAACCCATTTTCTGTCAATGAAAAGAATCTTGCATAGTTTTATCCACTGAGGTATGTATTACCATTTTTCCCCCACTGGGCTATTCTGTGGACTATTTAATAGACATAAAAAAACATCTATCCACATACATCATGCACACATTGAAAAGAACAAATTTGCAACCCTGAATAGAGTCTTTGTGTGTTCACTTGACTGTAGAATATTTCCCTGGCTGGATACTCCCAATATATAGACCAAAGCCAGCATCAAATTCCCCTCTTCTCACCAAAGTGCCTTCTCTACCTGCTCTATGATGTAATGTTCTTTACTTTATAATTAGGCATGTGATTTCAATGGTAAATGTCTTTGTGATGGTTCTAACAATGGCTTACATTTATAACAGGTAGTATGGAACTGATATAATGCTTCCTGAGAACAGATTTTGAAAAGTGGAGGGAAAGATGAGAACAAGGGACTGAGCTCCTAAGGTGAGAGAGAAAAGAGTTCTAGACGGGGAAAATGCTGGGAAAGAGGAGAACAAGGGACTGAGCTCCTAAGGTGAGAGAGAAAAGAGTTCTAGACGGGGAAAATGCTGGGCACATAAAATAAACAAACATTTACTGCACTGAATAGAAGCTGGGCATGTTACAAAACCAAACCAGTTGCTTCATCATTTTGAAAAGGGTTGGCTCTTTTAAGTAGGAAATGATAGAAAATAGAGGAAAGATTTGAACAATCACAGGGTTAAGTAGTGCATGTACTTATTCACTCTTGAAACATGTTATAGTAAAAAACAACCCACAGGACAGAAGATAATAAGAATAATCTCAAAATACCTGGAATACTGAAATACTAGATAACTATATAGAATATCAGAATTTTAGAGCTTTAAACAAATTAGAGATAATCTGGTCTCATGCTTCCACCTCCATTTTCTGAGAAAGAAACTCATTCCTAAAACATTATGTACTTGACCCAAAACCCTATAGCTAGGCAGTTAATCCAGTTTCAGTACCTCATAATAGGACCACTCCCTTATTTAAATGAAAGTATAATGCAAACATATTTTTAAAAGAACATTCTTGAAAATAAGCTGGTACATACCACTGTGTGGACTTGGTCATAGGTACTTTGGATTTTCCCATTTACTTTGTTTTTACCTGACAAAAACAAGAGGAAAATGACATTCTTTTCATTCTTCTTTTCCCTAAATCAATTCTTACTAGTCATTATGAAGACAACTACAACTCCTGCTCTAACTTGGGCATATTATTTTATTTGCTCTCATTTCAAACACTGATTGCAATGATGTTCGAAACAAGGGATGATAGGAAGCAAGCCCAGCCCCATAAAGTCTTTGCACGTTCAATTCCACTGGCCCAGCTTTTTAACTTAGTATTTGTAACATGTTATTGATTTTTGGCTCAGTTAGTGTTCATAGGTCAGAGACTGATTTAAAATATGACAATGGCCAAATAAATTGTTATCAATGATTGCTACTGTCAAATATTAGTTTACCATTTTTTTAAAACACACTCATTATAAAAGATTCTGAAATATCAATGCTCAAATTCTGTTTACTTTTGTATTTTCATAAATATGGATAATGAGAATTAACTCATTTCCTATTATACAATAAAATAATTTAAAATTTGATAATTAGGAAAAAATATTACAGAAAGCTCATTCAAATAGTTGTAGGTACTTACTTCCAACAATAGTCTTGTGATTAAAAATCTTACTCCAAATTCCACCTTCTACATTGTCTTTCACTCCAAATTCATAAACTGTGTCAGGCTTTAGATTTTCCACAATTGTTTCAGTGGCCGGACAGAGTTGAAAAATCCATTTCTTTTCCTTATCCTTTTCTCTATAGCGAATTGTATAAAATCTGCTGAATAACCAAAATATGCTGTAAAACCACAGGGAGATTCAGAATGTACTTCCAGCTTCTTAATACATCATAGACTCCCACCTACTCTGAAGATTTAACATTGGCTTCTGTTTAGATTTTTTTTTAATTTTCAGAGAACATAAAAAAGTTTCTTGGTGCATGCTTAAGTTTTTAATTTCTAATTGCAAGTTAGGGGACTAGGTAACAGCACAGTCATGGTCTAACAGAATTCCAGATCTCTCAATTCTATTATTTGATACTTTCCAAAATGAAAGTTGGAAAACACTAGACATTCATTTTTTTCTAATTATGCATAGAGAAGAACATAGGCATATTTTTATAAATATTTAATATTATAGTTTCATAACTATGGGTTTAAGCACATGGAAGGTACATTAGAGATAATATCGTTTAACACCATGAAAGGCACATTAGAGGTAATACCGTTCAATTTTGCAAAAGAGCAACCTGATGCACTCTAATGTATCCAGGACTTTATTTCAAGGGTGAAATTTCCTTACTATTAAAAAAAGGATCAACACCAATAGTCAAGCTGAGAGTACAATGAGAAAAATCGAACAATGCAAATTCAAGATCACTGTTACATATTTACTTAGGGCTTCATAATATTCAGACATATATATCACAAGGTACTAATAATTCTCACTACTATTTTTTTTTGCACCTTTAACACATGGTAGGTTTTATATACATTATCTCATTTAATTGTCACCAAAACATCTTAAGTGGTAGAAATCATTAATCCTACTTTACAAATGTGAAAACCATGTTTCAGAAAGATCTCTTAACTTGCCCCATGGCATCCAGCTAGTGATTTTTACTAGTAGCAGAACCAGAAAAGCAGGAAAAACTCCTCTGGCTCTGCTCTAAACAGTCTCACTAAGTGGGGAAGCAGGTCAGGAAAGGAAATTGCATTGCTACTGGATACAGCAATGAGAATGAATGAACTAGGGCTACGTGTATCAATATGGCTAAATTTTACAAACAAAATATTGAATGAAAATAGCAAAATGACGCATGTAGTTTCACATCATTTGCACAAAGATTAAAACACTCACACAAAATATGTTACCGTATATCATTCCTGACAGTGTAAAGGGACAAGAAATACTGGAAGGATACAACATTTATGATAGTGCTTTGGCTCCCAGTGAGCAAGTAGGGAAATACATGAGACTAGAGATGGGGCCAACTGATAAACTTTATTTGCTTTTTATTCTTAAATAAACATTTTAAGTAAATAGAATAAAACAAAATAATAATTGTCATGTATTAACAATGGAAACATACATGCTTGTTATACTATTTTAGACTCTTTTTTTACATTCTAAATTTTCTCTCAAAAATTTAGTACCTCTCCCCCACTCCTCACCCTAAGATTCAGGTCAACTGCTTTTATTTAAAGCCCTAAAATCCCTCATTTACTCATGCTAAAAATGTTTATTGTGTCCCCTCTAAGTGCCAGGCACAAGCTCTTGATTCAAAAAAAAACCACCCAGAATCTTTGGAAACAAGGGCCAGGACTGGCTACATAATTTGTGGAGTTCACAGCAAAATGAAAACATGGAGCCCCTTATTCAAAAATGATTAAGACTTTTAAGACGGTGACAACAGAGCATTAAACCAAGCATGGGCCCTTCTAACTGGGGAACCTGTGTAACTGTACTGGTTGCACGCCCATGAAGTCAGCAAGGGGGTTATAGTTTCTTAAGTACAGAAAAGGGATGTATTCGTACATTCAGCCTACTTTCTTACTAGTCACAAACTACTGAAATGCTCGAAATCATTCATTAGCTTGCTTCTTCCTCATAAAAGCAGCTCTCTGGGCTCCATACCCCATTCCAAAGTCACGAAAAACAGGACGAGTGAAGGAGGCTGTTCCAGCCAGAACACTAACTGCTACTGGGAACAAACGTTATAGAATACGAATGCTCTGTGTCCCGTGAGTTGAACCATCAACAGTAGTTTATGAAACACATTTGTTGACAAGTACATTGAACAGAATTTCTGTCGTTTTTCCCCTGCCCTGGCTATTACAGGACTTCAGGGAAGCGCAGAGAAACTAAAATCAGACCAGATGGGCCTCCAGAGTAACGCGTCTCTAGTTTGGATACATTTCTGAAGTCCTGAACTGCTTGCATGATCTGGTAGGGGTGTGGGGCAATGCCAACAGAACTACCAGAGGCCAGATTCCAGGATTCCCAGGAAGTATGATTTTATAACCTCTTCCTAGGAATGAGATAGACATGTTCTAAGACTTTGTTGGAAAAAATCTAGCATGTAAATTTTTTCTATTTTGCTCACAAAGCTTTCTAACTAACCTCTTTTGTACCAACTTGGTGAGGAAAAATAAAAGTACAGGCAGCTAGGCCTTCTCCTCGGCTTCAGTTAGGTTACCCTCACCAACATTGGCTTAACTGATACTTGTATAATATAGGCAAGTTCTAAATTTTAAAAGAGATAGTAAACAAGACTACTTAGCTATAAAGTGGTGAAGTCTATTTTCTTGATTTTAAAGCAAAATATAGGCCTTATGATGATAATACTGTACAACCTAGCACAGAGTATGTACCCCATATATGTTGTGGAACAAATAGAATGGATACTTAGGTGCTCATAGGGTCATTCTAAAATTATAGTTGCTCTAAATGGCCAATGACTCGATCACCAAAATATACTGATTTAAGCCATTAGGTCTACAATTATATTTTGCAATATGTCGTTGCATAAGAGTTCATTTACCAAACCTCAGCATTCTTATAGAATCAATGCAAATGGAAGGAGAGTTCAATAAATGTCTACATGGTACATTTGCAGAGGACTTAAGATTTTTAAATTTATTTCTGTGTATCCATACAATAAATTCTGAAATGAGCACAGCAAGAATTATTATACAAGAGAGAGGCCAAGAAGTGTCCAAAGCCTGAGAATCAGTGACAGAACCAGGCAAATGGCTGTTTTCTGACTCATAAGCTAATACCTTCTGTGTTGCATTGGACTATCTACTGCAGGGCTCAGCAAAAGGAGATGCAAAAACAAGGTAAAATGACCCAGAATGGAAGAGAAGTAAAAGGAATCAGAAGTTCTTTTAGCATTACTTAAGGCTTTCACACAATCACAGACTTCCCAATATTGTCTGAGGACATCCAGGATCAAATGTTGATTGCACTTCTTTTCTGTGGTTAATTAAATTTGGATACAAGTGCATAGAGAGGCAACAAGTCTACTAAAGACGGAGGTAACAGCCAGTGAATGCCATCAGAGCAGACCTCTGCAAAGCCTGACTAGCAATTTGGATTTTAGAAACAAGGATATCTCACATCCTAATTAAGTGGTAAGCAACTGTTGAGGGCAGTGTTTGGTTCACCTGGTGATATTCTGTGCTTGGATCTCCCCAAGAGTCTCAAAACTGACAATAATCGTTATTATAACTTAAAAAAATAACATAGCTCCTCCAAATGTAATGGAGAAGGCAGATAGTGGCTTGGCTTGGATATCTGCCAGCTGCAAACCAGTAGCATGCCCTCAGGAGAGTCTCTTTGCCCACTTATATATCAACTTTCTACTTTGAAAAAGAGGGGTTGGATTAGACAATCTTTGAATCCTTTCTGTTTCTAAAATTTTATTCTAGCTACAAATTAGACATTCTCTTCTAATAAAATACAGAGGCATAACACAGGCTAGAAACCCTAGAGGCAGAAATCCCATAAATAAAATTTATGATGTAAATGGCATTGAATTCTGCCAAGTGGAGAAATTGAATAGTGTCAATAAATTTAGTCCTTTCACAAACTAGCCTGGATTGATGCACATGGTTGGCCAGCTGTGGGACTTTCTATACTTTTTTCAGCAACTCTTTTATTTCTATGTGATTAATTACTATATTTCCTAGAACATCTATTCCACACATCACACATTTTTTTTTTTTTTTTTTTTTTTTTGCAGTACACGGGCCTCTCACTGCTGTGGCGTCTCCCGTTGCGGAGCACAGGCTCCGGACACGCAGGCTCAGCGGCCATGGCTCACGGGCCCAGCCGCTCCGCGGCATGTGGGATCTTCCCGGACCGGGGCACGAACCCATGTCCCCTGCATCGGCAGGTGGACTGTCAACCACTAGCGCCACACATTTTTTTTGCTCTCTTCACATCAAAGGACACTTCCTGACGCCCCCCGTTGTCAATATCCTTGCTTCTTGCCTTACTGAGACTGTGACTGTTGATATAAAATCTGCCCTCACTCCCTTCCTCTCAAAGTCTCTCTCTCCCCCTTCACTCTCTCCTTGCCCCTCTCCGATTCCAGGGTTCTCCCTTCTTCTAAAAAATAAGTGTCTTGGTAATTTTATTCCATTTTCTTATTCCACCTACTCTGCATCCTTTCTCTTGATTCTTCAAGGACCTTTCTCTGAGTCAAAAAGTTGTTGAACTATTTTCCACTATATCAAAGCAAAACTAAAACTAATACTTCTTATTCCTGCCATTACCTTTTAACACAACATTTCTCAAAATTAATCTACTTTCTTCTGTTTTCTTACCACTCATAATGCCTAAATCTCTTTGCAGTCTGGTGTCTGACCTGTTAGTACAGTAAAAAAACATGGTCAAATCCAATGATTTAATCATCTGTAAACTTCATAACTACTTTAAAATCTACTCATCTTTTCCAAATCTGTTCCTATTCCTGTAGTCTTCACATTCCTTCTCCCTGTGCCCAATCAGTTTTCAAGTCCAGTTATATTTCCCTGAGTGATACCTCTTGCACTTGTCTTGCCTCTACTACTAAGTAACACTTCAAGGCCCATTTTGGGTTCTTACTATCTCTGGACTCTTAGAATAATTTTCAAACTGGTAAACCATTTCCAAAATCTTTTTATCACTCACTGCTGGCCTGTTTAAGCTCAACAAGAGAAAGAAGTTTCTAGTGATTTTAGCGCTATCTAAAATGGAATAGCGTGCCTGAAGTGGCAATTATCACATAAA